ATATCCATTAGAACCAGGTTTCATCTGGATAAGCAACCAATGGCCTAATATTATTAGAAAATGCTCTTGAAACATAAATAGAATTCAGTGAAGCTTCAGGTTTGAATAAACAGAGGTATATTCATAAAAAAACAATAATTTCCCACAAAAACTCCTTATGGAGTAGTTTCTGATCTGCAAATCACTGAAAATTTAGTATGCTAAATATATGCCTTTTTTGTCTAATTTTTTCCTCTCACCACGGAAGTAAGTACAATTGAAGCAGGACAGGTTATTGAGCAAAAAGAAATTGCTTAAGCAAAAAGAAATTGCTTAAGGAGTCTAGCATGTTCCTTCATATAAATGTCTCATCTAAAATTGGAGTTTGTTCCAGTGCCTGTTAAAATGTGGACTCTTTCTTGTGAAAGAAAAATCTCAAAGAAGAGTGATATGCTTTGAAAAAAAAATGCACCTTTCATCTTTTGTCCCCAGAACTATTAGATAAAGGAATAGTTATATTCATTATAGTATAGCTGGACTTGTGGTTTTCCCATGATTGAAAGTCTTTTCAATCATCCCACCAGCTTTTTCTACTAGAAAGTAATGTTATCTAAACAAAAGTAAAGCATAATCAGCTTTCAGAGGAGGAAGCCAGAAGAATCTTAAGGAAGATGCTTTATTCAGGAGCATTTCAAGGTTACAGGATAAAATATAAAGGTGAAAATTCATTAAAATGTGGATAATGAAGGAATGGCCAACAGGGAAAATGTAGACTTCATGAGAGTAATCTTGACATTAAGTTCACTTCACATCAGAAAATATGTTTTTAATAGTTTAGGTGGCCCCCTTCTATGTGGTTATAGAGCACACTGTACATTGCATATGATCACACTTTTCACACTGCATGACAATTATTATTCTCTCTCACTAGCCTATAAAGTCCAAGAAGACAGAGATCATGTGCTTTTTCACACTGTCTATATTCCCAGTACCAAGCATAGTGCCTTGCAAATTGTAGATACTGAAGAAACCTTTCCTGAGTAAATATTTGATGAACCCACCATGTTCCCAGCATGACTCTAGGTGCTCCAAAGGATACAGAGGTGTATAAGATCCAGCCTCTGACCAGGAGTTTTGGACCATTTCGGATGGGGTGGGCAGAGGGACTATATGTAAGACACAAACACAAATTACTACACTAAAAAGCATAGGAAGTTAGATGCTTTAATAGAGGTATAAATGGGATTCAAAGAAAGGAGCTAGCATAACAGTGTTGAGTCAGCCACAAAATGTTTCATGAAGCATAGAAAATTTGAGAAAAGCCTTTACAAATGGGTAAGAATGATAGGCAAAAAAGAGGATATTCCTGTCTGAGGTAGCAGAATGAGCAAATTCTGTTTATGAAAAAGAAAAAGTCACTTTGAACACTAGGAGCTTAGTTTGTCCGAAGTGCTGGGCATGTCAGCAGAGTAGTGGGAGATAAATCTCTAAAGGTAGATGGCACTGTTATTAAGGAAGCCATTGACTGCCAAACTATATACCTTGTGATTTGTGAAAAATAAGGAGCAATTAATTCTTTTTAAAAAGTTCATATTAGAAAAGAAAATCATGACAGCATTATATAGAATGGAATGGAAAAAAATAACAGATAAAGAGACAAATTAAATAAGAGGGACCTGAACTAGAGTAGAAAGGAAGCAAATAAAAAATGGGAAGGTTATAAAATATAATACAGTTGGAGAAAATGACATCCATTATAATAATGTTTATCAAGCACTTACTATGTACCAGGAACTGTGTTAACTTCATTGAATACATTAGCTCAGTTAATTATCAGACTGACTCTGTAGTTAGGTACTATGATTATTTTCATTTTATCAATGAGAAAATTACCAGAGCGGTTTAGTAATGTACTTAAGATCACACAGCTATCAATTGAAAGAACAAAGATTTAAACCCAGGTCTTTCTGACTCCTAAACATATATTATTTCTCCCATCGTATACTGTCTCCTCATGAGCTTGTTTGGAAGTGGAGAATAAGTGAGAAAGATTCTATGTCTATAAAATTTTGAGACCGGCTATCTGAGAAAATATTGGTGTATTTTAATAACAATGAGGAAGTTTGGAATAGAATCTGGTTTAAAGTTGGGAGAGGTATTTTTTTGTTTGTTTGGGATATATTGATTTTTATAATCAATTAGTGTCTATTTTCAAAAATTATTTCATTCAACAGATATTGAACACTTACTCTGTGCCTTGCACAGTTCTTGGCTCTGGTATATAGGAAGTAAAGAAAACATGCAAGAATCTTCGTCCTCATGGACTTTATGTCTTAGTAGGGAAATATATATTTTAAAACTAAATAAGAAAGATAGGATATGGGAACTCTTTTTTTCTGTTCAATTTTCCTGTAAACCAAAGCTGCCCTAAGAATAGTCTATGATTATACAAATAAACTTGTAAAACATCCACTAGTTTAAAAGCAATGCCACACTGCATGTAGTTCAACATGGATCTCTAAGCCCTGGCTCTGTATCTACTGTACCCCCTTCCATACACCACTTGCTTCTGTCTCTTCATGCCATTCTCCCTCCCTGCAGTGCATTTCTCCAGTCCTGCTTTCTCTCAGTGCCTACTCAGCCTTTAAGACTTGTCTCATACATCAATCCCTCTGTGTTCTATAACATTACCACTGTACTTATCAAAGTATAATTTTCTGGTTATGTGATTGTTCTACTTACTAGATTGTTAACTCTTTGAGGGCAATGGTCATGCATTATTGATCTCTGTATATCCAGCTCCTAAAGCATTTCTTTTATAGTACGTGCTCAATAAAATGTTGAATAAAAAAAAAGATAGAGTATGTTAGTGATGATTGATATGGATAAAATAAATACTGAAAGGAAAATGGAAAGTGTTGACAGAGAACTATAATTTTAAATAGGAAGATCAAGGAAAACATCATGAAAAGGTAACATTTTGGTGTATGTATGTGAGTGTGTGTGGTGTGAGAACACATAAAATTTGCTCAATTTCAAGTGAACAATATAGTATTATTAACTATAGTAACCATGCTGTACATTACATCTTCAAAACTTATTCATCTTATAACTAAAAATTTGTACCCTTCCACCAACATCTCCCCATGTCCTGTTCCCTTCAGCTCCTGACAATCATCATTCTACTCTCTGCTTCAAGTTAAATGATTTTAGATTGCACATTTAACTGAAATCATGTGATGTTTATCTTTCTGTGACTGGCTTATTTCACTTAGCATAATATCATCCAGATTCATCCATGTTGCTGCAAATGGCAAGCTTTTCTTCTTTTATATGGCTGAATGATATTCCATTGTACACAAATACACCTCATTTTCTTTATTCATACATTATTCAGTGGACACTTAGATTGTTTCCATATCTTGACTTTTGTGAACAATGCTTCAGTGAACACAAGAGTGCAGATATATCTTTGAGACGCTGATTTAATTTCCTTTGGAAATTTACCCAGGAGTAAGATTGCTGGATCATATAGTAGTTCAATTTTTAATTTTTGAGGAACCTCCATACTGTTTCCCATAATGGTTGTACTTATTTATATTTCCACCAGTGATATACTAGGATTCCCTTTTCTCCACATCCTTGTCAACACTATTTATCTCTGTTATTTTGATAATAGCCATCCTAACATTTGTAAGGTGATATTCCATTGTGGTTTTCAGTTGCATTTCCTTGATGATTAATGATGCTGAGCACCTTTTCATATACCTTTTGTCTGCCATCTAACTTTGTCTGTTACCTAATCAAAGTCACTGTGAAAATATTTCAAAGATGTACTTCAGTTTGGGAGCTGATTAATCTCAATTTTAAAAACTTTCAATATTGATGTTATTCTTTATAATTATGCTTCCTTGTGTTTTATAACACCATCTTTCTACATCTTCCTTATGTGTGAAATCTCAAGTATTTAACCTCTTCAACCTGAAGGCATAGTTCATACCACTCATTAAACCTTTTAAATAATGTGAGCACCATGTCTTTGAACAAAATGTACCATTTTACTTACCAGGCAATTGAGGAAAAATAACAACAATAACAAATTTCTTCAGGGGCTGAAGCAAGTACACTTCAAACCACAACGATTTGATAATTCAAAGCAGGATGTTTTATAATTCCGATTTCTTTTTTGTTCTTCCCACATATCTTTAAAATCAGTAAAGTTCTTCTAGATTTCAGCAGCCTGGAGGTAACTGTCCAGGTCCCTAAACTAAAATTTGTTTACCTCAGAACAAGGGTCATAGACCCAGCTGAGCCAACTTTCTGGGGATTTTGATTCTCTGTTTTCATTCTATTGTCTTAGATTTATTTAATGTTGTTGTCTTGGATAATTAAGAGGTGAGTAAATGACCCATGTAAATGGAAGCATTTAAAGAGAGGCTGGTTGCCCACTTATTTTCAGAAATCTGGGAAGCATTTGGGTCAAATAAGTGGCTCTCAAATGGTGGTTCAGGGACAAATGCTAGGCTGGATATATAGGAATCATATGGGGAACTTTTAATAATACAAATTCCAGGCCCTACTCCATACATACTTAATGAAAATTTCTACCCAGAAAGCTGTATTTTTTTTAACTTCCCCAGATGAGTCTGACAATCAGTGCGGTTTGTGGAGCAATGGTCTATATCAGAGCTTCTCAAATGTTAATATGCAGAAGAATCAGCTGAGGTAATTGTTAAACTGCAGATCCCTATTCAGCAGGGCCTGGGATTCTTTTGAATTGCTAACAACTGCCAAAGGGATGTTGGTTCATGGATTTTGAGTAACAAGGGGCTAAATTACCTCTCAGGTTCTTTCTAGCTATCCTTTCTGTGATTGTAAAGTACCTCATAGAAACCATAGCATATTACCCTCACTCACATCAAAATTTTTCATTCAAACTAATATATTTTTCTACATATAGGTTTTTTCTTTGTTCAAAAACTGTGCCAGACAATAATTGACTTATTTTCTTTCACTTCCAGCTCTGCCTTTGTTTTCCACTTTTTAGTTTTCGACACATAAATGAAAAAGTCCCAGAAAACTTTCCAAGTTAATCATCCCTGAAGAGTGGCGGATCCACTGCGCACTAAAGCAAACCTTTCTTCTATGTGAGCCAAGAAAAGAAAAACAGTCTGCCAAACATCTGTAAAGAGATGGCTATCATCATATAGGAATTTGAGGAGCTGCTATACGGCATGATCCAAATGGGAGAGAATCAACTGTCATAATGTCCCAGAAGGCCTTATAATAAATAGAGCAAACAATAGGGGAAAATCTGTGCTTGGAGATTTTGCATGGAAACGAGATTTCCATGTAGTTACTGTAGAAAAATCCAAAGCAAACATGCAGATAGTTCTTTGAGAAGTCCCTAAATCATATGTAAAGGCTCAGACACGTGCCACAAAAAGGTTATTTTATACTCAGTATCTCCAACTCATTGTCCAATTTTCAGAAGGAGCAGCAGTTGATCGTGAATTAAGGGTTTGAACCACCATTAGGCAAAGGTAGTTTCTCTAGCGAGAATCATGTCTGCTAATGACACATGTATCGAGCCAGATGGAGACAGCACAGATTTTCGGTACTTTATCTATGCAGTGACATACACTGTCATTCTTGTGCCAGGTCTCATAGGGAACATATTAGCCTTGTGGGTATTTTATGGTTATATGAAAGAAACCAAACGGGCTGTGATATTTATGATAAACTTAGCCATTGCTGACTTACTACAAGTACTCTCCCTGCCACTGAGGATCTTTTACTACTTAAATCATGACTGGCCATTTGGGCCCAGCCTATGCATGTTCTGTTTCTACTTGAAGTATGTTAACATGTATGCAAGCATCTACTTCTTGGTCTGCATCAGTGTGCGACGATTTTGGTTTCTCATGTACCCCTTTCGTTTCCATGACTGCAAACAGAAATATGACCTATATATCAGCATTTCCGGATGGCTGATCATCTGCCTTGCCTGTCTACTCTTCCCTCTCCTCAGAATCAGTGAGGACACTCCTGGCAACAGAACCAAATGCTTTGTGGATCTACCTACCAGAAATGTCAATCTGGCCCAGTCTGTTGCCATGGTGACTGTTGGAGAGTTGATTGGGTTTGTAACTCCTCTACTGATAGTTCTATATTGTACCTGGAAGACAGTTTTATCGCTGCAAGATAAATATCCTATGGCCCAAGATCTTGGAGAGAAAAAGAAAGCCTTGAAGATGATTCTAACCTGTGCAGGGGTATTCCTAATTTGTTTTGCACCTTATCACTTCAGTTTTCCTTTAGATTTTCTGGTTAAGTCCAATGAAATTAAAAGCTGCCTGGCCAGAAGGGTGATTCTAATATTTCATTCTGTGGCCCTGTGTCTTGCTAGTCTGAATTCCTGCCTTGACCCAATCATATACTACTTTACAACCAATGAGTTCAGAAGACGGCTTTCAAGGCAAGATTTGCACGATAGCATCCAACTCCATGCAAAATCTTTTGTGAGTAACCATACCACTTCTACCATGGCAACTGAATTATGCTGAAAAAAAAAAAAACTCTGAATGTGGCCTGAAATGCAAATACATCAGAAACATTTGCAATACCCTGAGCCACAGGGAAGTACTCACGGCAAGCATTCACAACTTTTCATTTATAGTCTGTCTTACCTATATGGAGGATTCACATTTTCATGACATTTTCACATAATTGGAGCATTATGCTCCACCATCATTGATGTTGACATGTCCATTAGTAATTTGTTATCAAGTATTTAAGACTTAAACTATAAAATTTCAATGACAGCCTATAAGCATATGCTCTCAACTAGAATCAGCAGTTTTATCTGTGAACCTAAGGCACAGAGAGATTATTAGCTTGGGGCCACCATAAGCACTTATTTTTCTTACAGCAGACACTGAGTCTCTGTATTCAGAGGAAATGTAGATGTCTATTTATCACAGTGTACATTCCGATTTCATATGTTTGGTTGTATGTTTAGTAGGATAGAAAGTATACTATGCTAAGCAAACAAAATGTTATAAAAATAGGATCATTTTTATTATATCTCCCATGTGTGATTACACGTCAGGGTTTGAAGACTCAATTAGCTATTTTCTTCATTTCAGTGCCATTATCTATTCATTGCATGAAGATCTGAACTCAGGCCTCTGGTATGTTCAAACTAAGAACAATACACAGATTTACATACCGTAATCCTCTGTGACCATCTAAGATGTCACATTGCATCTACCCAGGAAAGGTAGTTTGCCAAAGTCCATACAAAGTGATCCAAATAACCTGTAGTCCCAGGACAAAGCAGATAGGTGAAAATCACAGTTCTTAAACTATTTTCACCTGTGGAGATACGGACCTGCCTAGTAGAGGGAGTTTCCACAATGCTTCTAGAATAACAATGAAGTAACTCTGACAGTTTACTGCACTTTCTGAGCCTACGGAAGAAGTAGTGCACTAATAGATCACTAAGCTTAGTTCAGAGTGAAAACATGAAACAAAGTTGAGTAATCTTCTTAAGGTCTTCACCACATTATATTTCTTAATCTAAACTAGGGTCACCTGGCTTAAACCTTCAAGCCACCTAACACAAATTAGGGTAGGTCTCACTGTCCCATAATTGCAAATACATTCCCATTGCCCAATCATTGTAGTCAATCACATGGACCCTCGAGTCTGCATTGATATTGGTCTAGCTTTGCCCCAGCCATACCATTCAGAAACCTACATAGCCTACTTCCTAGCAGCTGGGGTAGGCAATCCTTTCATGTTTTGAGAAAAGTGCAGAAGATTAATTTTGTCAGCCTTGGGCACCCACATTCAATGTCTTGCCAGCTACCTGTTTGGTACTATTATGTGGGAAACAGACCTGGGTAGGAGTACTAGTTAAACCTGAGGTTTTAAGTATTAGAATACTTTGAAACATGTTTTAGCAAAAAGCTCTAACTTTAAAAAATGCTCTACCTAAATAAAATCTGTGTGCTATACGATGGAGATGCATTCTAGTTCTCATCTGGAAGGAATTGTAGAAGCCAATCAAAGGCTATAGCATATTTAGAGGGAGGGAGTTGTTTGAGGCACGTAATTATGATACTAATATGTTTTAGAGAAAACTATTGAAATCAAAATGAATTCTAATATCTAAGATTAATGGAAAGTTTTCTCTGGACACGTATTGAGTTTGCTTGTACTTTGTATTTACAATAATACCCTATTAGAAAATTGACTTTGTGCTGCTAGAACAGTGTATCTATGTATCTCCTAATTATTCATTGTAAGGTACATGTTTTGATGTGTTAAATAAGTTTTAAATGAGTGTTAAATTGTGTCTTGAAAAGTGTAATATAATTGTGTCTGGTCTGTTTGCTCTAAATTGATTTGTATTCGACTATAATTCAGTGTTGTAATGGGATTGCAAGTAATAATTTTGTGGAATTGTGAAACAACTGTGGGTACTTGCAATGGGAGAGTCTTGTCTGTACTATGTGCTTATTATTTTCTAGACTAGCACAAATTACACTTCTTAGGTCACTTTGGGAGACCACTGATTTAATTTTATTAACATATTGATTTCATTTTAAACATATCTTTTTTTTAAAGGAGAAGTGAAATATTTCCAGATTATTGACTTTCTTAGAGGAATGGTTGAGGGTACAGCCTATTTGTTAGACAACCAATTTACATAATTCAGGGAGAGGACAAGTGTCCAGGGCTCTTATGTGCTTAGTTAAAGTCACCCCTTCTCCCCAGGCCTGCCCTTCTAGATTTGTATTCAGTGCTCTGATTTACTTTACCCATTCCCCCTACCCCATCAGTATGTTTTGTCTTCTGCCCTACTCCCTTGCTCTTCTAGGCAATAATCTGATCAACTAAATTCACTTTAAGGTGCTAATGACTAATGTTAGTTTAATGTTAACTTACCCAAGGGTGTCTGAATTCCAGGCTTTAGGACTAGGCATTGACCCAAAGTGGTGAATTTCAATATATACACTGAAGCAGAAAGACTGGAGGGAAAAATATTTTGAAGAAAGTTTGTTCTTACAGCAGTGCCTTTCAGATTGCATATAGTAAGTGACCACCTCCTTTACTTACCATAATGGGGATACTAAATTCTAAGAAATATATCCATAAACATGGCTATCAGTTTGTCAGGTCTCTGCTTGTTTGGTTTTTGTTTTCCCTTTCCTTCTTTCTCTTCCTTTCTTTCTTTCTCTTTCTTCTTTCTTTCTTTCTTTCTTTCTTTCTTTCTTTCTTTCTTTCTTTCTTTCTTTCTTTCTTTCTTTCTTTCTTTCATATGAGTAGATGGATTAATAAAATATGGTATATGTGTACCATGGAGTTCTATTCACCCACAAAAACAATGGTGATCTAGCACCTCTTGTGTTGTCCTGGATAGAGCTAGAGCCCATTCTACTAAGTGAAGCATCTTTCTTTATTGCATTTCTTTTTTTCTATCTCCTGTCCAACTCTGGATCTTATTTCTAGGGGAAAGTCTAAAGTAGGAGAGAAATATAGTTGCACCTACTACCCAGACAGCATCCTTCTCTCTGAGCTTCTCCATTCCTTGGGGAATATTCTCTCCAGACCTCTCATTTATCACTCTCTGGGTTTCATGAAATTGAGGTGCAAAAAGTAAACACCCTTGACTGCAATAATGTACAATTCAAGATAAATAATTCTGCATCTCTTATATAATGTTGTTTGAATTTTTATTCCAAAATGTACACATAATTATTCCAATAAGAGATTTTTAATATGGGGTCATTTCCATGGTATTATTATTTTCATTATTCTTATCATTATATTCTGATGGTTTGTATGTTTCCATTGTCACTCAGTGAAGTAGATAATTTTATTAACTGGTACTTCTGTGAAGAGGGGCAGTCTGCCCCAAGACCAACACACCAGGTTACCTTGGTCTAAAAGGGTGCATCAGTGTAACTCTTGTGCAACTTAATTTTTATGTGACCTTTTTGTTTGTACTCCCAAGATACTGTGAAATGTTGCACTTGGAATTTATTTACGACTATAACTTATAATATGCATTTCAATAATAAAGTTTGTCTCTATAATTACACAGAAATTTTCTGCCTCCAGATGTCAATGTGTATTTAATCACTTCTTTCAGACAACTGATAGACTTGAGGATATTTATTAGTGTTGTCACACACATGGAAAAAAGTCCCATGAGGCTCTACTCTCCCTTTTTTTCCTTTGGAGAAGTGATTTCTATTCTCATAGGGAAAGATGAGCCACTACCCCCACTTTACCCAACTCTTCACCCCAACTCCTTCCATAGATAGCCTTTTTTACTATCCACACCCTGCTAAAATTATTCCCACCCTTACTGTGGACCTCTTATTTGAACTACTTAAAGCCCTGTATTTGTAACAATGGGATAGAAAGGATGGTTTATTCTTAGTCTTAAGAGCTGTTTAATCATGGCAGTATGGTTTTACTTGTGGATTGACAGGGAAACAAAACCCATCCTCCACTGTCCCCCTCTTCCCTTCTCAAAACAGATCTATTTAACAAAAACATGAAGTTAGGAAAATTGTCTCTGGCCCTCCCCTCATGCTAGCTTTCTTTCTTCCACTTCAGCAACTCCCTCCTCATCTCACTTACATGCCTACTGCTTTCAGGAGGCTCAGGTATCTTCTGAAATAACCAAGTTGTTAGGAATTATATATTTTGGATGTTGCAAAAATATTTTCCTATGAAGTGGTAAAGGTTTCCTAAGGAGGAATTCTTGATGCTGTGGTAGACCTGAAGACAGTAATGGGATATAAATGCTGGAACTTCCCCAGGCTTCAAATACCCCCAAATCCTAAGGAGACCTCTCTTTGTGCCCTCCTGAAGCAAGTCTAGAAATAACTTCACTACCTTCACTACCATATTTTTCCAGAGTGCTAGGGATGAGGAGGAGGGAATGAGAGATAAACTCTCAAATAAATGTGGCTGTTTTGATTTATGTATTCTGCAGTTATTAAAGGATGTGGTGTTGGGTGGGTGGAGGAAAGTAAGTTCTAACTTTCTTGAACCTCATGGGTCATTTTCTCAGAAGAACTTCTTCAGCCTTAACCACTACTTGATTTCACCAAGGCCATATTTCTTGTTCTATTGTTTCTTGACTAAATTATCTTCATATTACTCCTTATTGCACATCTTCTGATTAATCTATTGGCATAGCCTTATTCAAAATCTTAAATTTGCCATTTTTTTATCTCTTTGAAAATAATAGAGCAATTTCTCCATAGTGAGAGCTGTCGTGATACCTCATTCCCTGACTCTAGTGTCTACCTTTTTATTGTAGGAGCTTATCAAGTTTGATTCTGGCCTGTTAAGAGTGAGATTTTTCAGACTTTCCTGAAAAATGTTGAATATCCACAACTTGTGAGAAGACTAAAAGCATTTATACCTTTTAAAATGCTACTCTGGCCGGGTGTGGTGGCTCACGCCTGTAATCCTAGCAATTTGGGAGGCCGAGGCGGGCGGATTGCTCAAGGTCAGGAGTTCGAAACCAGCCTGAGCAAGACCCTGTCTCTACCAAAAATAGAAATAAATTAATTGACCAACTAAAAATATATATACAAAAAATTAGCCGGGCATGGTGGTGCATGCCTGTAGTCCCAGCTACTCGGGAGGCTGAGGCAGTAGGATGGCTGAGCCCCGGAGATTGAGGTTGCTGTGAGCCAGGCTGACGCCACGGCACTCACTCTAGCCTGGGCAACAAAGTGAGACTCTGTCTCAAAAATAAATAAATAAATAAATAAATAAATAAATAAATAAATAAATAAAAAATAAAATGCTACTCTGATAAGAGGTCAAAATAAAAATAGTTTGAAAAAGTGATGGGCCAAGTTATGGCCTTGGAATGAAAGTATAAAAGAAGTGATCATGCTATAAACTCTCCACATCATCTTCTGATAAAGTAACATATATAATACTAGACTAAAAATGGTCTGAAATCATGCTACTAAACAAGTTTAAGTATTTCACTAAGATGTACATAAGAGTATGCATACACACACCCATATATATATACACACACATAATGCATTTTGCCATGAAAAAATCAAACAGATTCAAAAGAAGAGCAATTTGTATAATGAACCCCCATTATTCATCTTGAAACAATATCAATACTTGGCAGTCTTATTTCTTCTATACCTGCTCCTACTCCCCCACTCCAGATTATATTAAAATGCATTTCAGACATTATATAATTTCATCTGAAAATATTTTAGTAAGTCATAGTAAAAGAAAATATTTTAGTAAGTCATAGTAAAGTCATTCACTTTAAATGAACTGTTTAATATATAATCAAAAGGTGATAAGGAATAAAAACTGATTTTAAATGCTTTTCAATAATGACATCAAACACTAAATTCCAATAAGTAGACTTTCTTTCAATCAATCTGAACAATTTGCAACTCCAATAAAAATATTTATTAACTTTACTCTGTTTCCCTTAGGTAGCTCTTTTTTATACTGTAGAAGTGTCATGGAGACTAATGTTAAATTCAGTTGAGGGATTCTTTGGTCCAGATTTATTATGGTTTCCATTGTAATGAGTCCAGTACACTCAGCTTCACTGAATGTAAAAATGTCAAAGCTTAAAGACTGAATTTCTACATTATAGTCAAAATGATCCTATAAACAATACTCACAGAGTGGTATTACAATGCATCTATATTCTGAATTTTTTCTGAACACTGTGCCATAGTTACATGAACTCTGTGAATACTACTCACAGTTATGTGGCTAGATTTCTATAAAGATTCCCTCAGGCATTCCACATTTTCTTCCTTTGAATCTCCCTTTACGAAGATACATTAATTAGGCTATGGATTCAGCTGTGGTTAATAGAGCTGTGGGTTAAGCTGCATAAAAATGGATTTCTCTTTGTTGCTCTTGTGAATGGTATTAAGTTCTTGATTTGGTCCTAAGATTGAATGTTGTTTGTGTATGTGAATGCTATGGATTTATGTACACTGATTTTGTAACCTGACACTTTGCTAAATTTGTTTATCAATTCATCTTTGAATTGTTTTGCTGAATTTGTTTATCAATTCATCTGCCAACAGATGTTGGCAAAATATTTGGGGCTTTCTAGATATGGAAACATGTTGTCTGTCATCAGAGTGATAGTTTGACCTCTTCTGTCCTGATTTGGATACATTTGATGTCCTTCCCCTGTATGATTGCTCTGGCTAGGACTTCCAGAAGTATGTTGAATAGAAGTGGTGGTAGTACGCAACTGTGTCTGGTTCTAGTCCTAAGCAGGAATGCTTTCACTTTTTCACCACTCAGTATACTGTTAGCTGTGGGTTTGTCATGTATGGCTTTTATCATTTTGATGTAGGCCCCGAAATACTAGGAATATATTTAACTAAGGAGGTGAAAGATCTCTACAAGAAGAACTCTGAAACACTGAGGAAGGAAAAAGCAGAGGACATAAACAGATGGAAAAGCATACTGTGCTTGTGGATTAGTAGAATAAACATTGTTAAAATGTCTTTATTACTCAAAGTGATCTACAGATTCAATGCACTCCCTATTAAAATGACAACATCATTCTTCACATATAGAAAAAAACAATTCTTTCCTTCATATGAAACCAGAGAAGACCCTGTATAGACAAAGCAACCATAAGCAAAAAGAACAAATTGGAACACAGCAATTTACCAGACTTCAAGCTATACCGCAAGGCTATAGTAACCAAAACAGCATGGGATTGGCACAAGAACAGAGGCATACACCAATGGATCAGAACAGAGAACCCAGATATAAAATCATCCTCATATTGCCTTCTGTTATTTAATAAAGCAGAGAAAAAGATACACTGAGGAAAAGAATCTTTATTCAATAAATGGTGCTGGGAAAAGCCACATGCTGTAGATAGCCACATGTAGAAGACTGAAACAGGATCCACACCTCTCACCACTCACAAAAATCAACTCACAATGGATAACAGACTTAAATCTAAGGTTGGAAACCATAAGAGCTCTAGAAGAAAATGTTTGAAAAACTCTTAAAGACATGGCCCTAGGCAAAGAATTCATGAACAAGACCCTAAAAAGCAATCACAGCAAAAGAAAAATAAATAAATGGGACCTGGTCAAATTCA